TACAATGTAAATATGTTGTAAGGTAGATGTTTTGTACAGGTTTCAATGATTGGGTAGATATGGGTACAATGTAAATATGTTGTAAGGTAGATGTTTTGTACAGGTTTCAATGATTGGGTAGATATGGTGTACAATGTAAATATGTTGTAAGGTAGATGTTTTGTACAGGTTTCAATGATTGGGTAGATATAAGGTACAATGTAAATATGTTGTAAGGTAGATGTTTTGTACAGGTTTCAATGATTGGGTAGATATGGTGTACAATGTAAATATGTTGTAAGGTAGATGTTTTGTACAGGTTTCAATGATTGGGTAGATATGGTGTACAATGTAAATATGTTGTAAGGTAGATGTTTTGTACAGGTTTCAATGATTGGGTAGATATAAGGTACAATGTAAATATGTTGTAAGGTAGATGTTTTGTACAGGTTTCAATGATTGGGTAGATATATGGTACAATGTAAATATGTTGTAAGGTAGATGTTTTGTACAGGTTTCAATGATTGGGTAGATATAAGGTACAATGTAAATATGTTGTAAGGTAGATGTTTTGTACAGGTTTCAATCATTGGGTAGATATGAGGTACAATGTAAATATGTTGTAAGGTAGATGTTTTGTACAGGTTTCAATCATTGGGTAGATATGAGGTACAATGTAAATATGTTGTAAGGTAGATGTTTTGTACAGGTTTCAATGATTGGGTAGATATGGTGTACAATGTAAATATGTTGTAAGGTAGATGTTTTGTACAGGTTTCAATGATTGGGTAGATATAAGGTACAATGTAAATATGTTGTAAGGTAGATGTTTTGTACAGGTTTCAATGATTGGGTAGATATGGTGTACAATGTAAATATGTTGTAAGGTAGATGTTTTGTACAGGTTTCAATGATTGGGTAGATATAAGGTACAATGTAAATATGTTGTAAGGTAGATGTTTTGTACAGGTTTCAATGATTGGGTAGATATGAGGTACAATGTAAATATGTTGTAAGGTAGATGTTTTGTACAGGTTTCAATGATTGGGTAGATATAAGGTACAATGTAAATATGTTGTAAGGTAGATGTTTTGTACAGGTTTCAATGATTGGGTAGATATGGTGTACAATGTAAATATGTTGTAAGGTAGATGTTTTGTACAGGTTTCAATCATTGGGTAGATATGAGGTACAATGTAAATATGTTGTAAGGTAGATGTTTTGTACAGGTTTCAATGATTGGGTAGATATGAGGTACAATGTAAATATGTTGTAAGGTAGATGTTTTGTACAGGTTTCAATGATTGGGTAGATATAAGGTACAATGTAAATATGTTGTAAGGTAGATGTTTTGTACAGGTTTCAATGATTGGGTAGATATGGTGTACAATGTAAATATGTTGTAAGGTAGATGTTTTGTACAGGTTTCAATGATTGGGTAGATATAAGGTACAATGTAAATATGTTGTAAGGTAGATGTTTTGTACAGGTTTCAATCATTGGGTAGATATAAGGTACAATGTAAATATGTTGTAAGGTGAATGTTTTGTTCAGTGTAGGTTTTAATAATTTGGTAGATGTATTTTACATGGTAGATATTCGATGTTTGGAGGATGCTTTGTGAAAAGGAAGATGATAATAAGATTTGAAAAAAAAAAGAAAATGAAATCATTTAGAAGAATAAACACATCGGTAAAGTTACTTGTAATGGAGAAATTGATACATCTTTAATCCTTTAAGCATCATTACTGAAGGCATTCCTGTGCTAAGATATATGATATAAAAAGTGATTTTTCATTGACTGTTTTCCAATTTGTAATCAATTCATAGAGGGTTAGATATCGTTCTAGTGATGTATAATCAATTTATAGAGGGTTAGATATCGTTCTAGTGATGTATAATCAATTTATAGAGGGTTGGATATCGTTCTAGTGATGTATAATCAATTTATAGAGGGTTAGATATCGTTCTAGTGATGTATAATCAATTTATAGAGGGTTGGATATCGTTCTAGTGATGTATAATCAATTTATAGAGGGTTGGATATCGTTCTAGTGATGTATAATCAATTTATAGAGGGTTAGATATCAATTTATAGAGGGTGATGTATAAATCAATTTATAGAGGGTTGGATATCGTTATAGTGATGTATAATCAATTTATAGAGGGTTGGATATCGTTCTAGTGATGTATAATCAATTTATAGTGAGAGGTATATATAATCAAGTTTATAGTAGTGGTACAGGATTTATCAGTGGTAAGTGATGTATAATCAATTTATGTAGGGTTGGATATCGTTCTAGTGATGTATAATCAATTTATAGAGGGTTGAGTTATGTAGTGGTCAGTGTTAGTGTATAGTTAGTGTATAATCAGTTTATAGAGTGATAGTTATGTAGTGGTATAGTCAGAGTTATGTAGTGGATATGAGTGAGTATTGTAGAGGTGTGAGAGTTATATATAGCAAGGAAACACAGGAATCACAAAATAAGTGGTTACAGAGTTTCCACAAGGAGATTCTGTACAAGCTAAAGCATTTAAAGCAAAGTGAGATGTAGTGGTTAGTGATAGTTATGTAGTGGCTAGTGAGATTTATGTAGTGGTAAGTGAGAGTGAGAGTTATGTAGTGGCTAGTGAGAGTTATGTAGTGGTTAGTGAGAGTTATGTAGTGGTCAGTGAGAGTTATGTAGTGGTTAGTGAGAGTTATGTAGTGGTAAGTGATAGTTATGTAGTGGTTAGTGAGAGTTATGTAGTGGTAAGTGAGAGTTATGTAGTGGTCAGTGAGAGTAGTGGTTAGTGAGAGTTATGTAGTGGTTAGTGAGAGTTATGTAGTGGTTAGTGAGAGTTATGTAGTGGTCAGTGAGAGTTATGTAGTGGTTAGTGAGAGTTATGTAGTGGTTAGTGAGAGTTATGTAGTGGTTAGTGGTTAGTGAGAGTTATGTAGTGGTTAGTGAGAGTTATGTAGTGGTTAGTGAGAGTTATGTAGTTATGAGAGTATGTAGTGGTTAGTGAGAGTTATGTAGTGGAGAGTTATGTAGTGAGAGTTATGTAGTGGTCAGTGAGAGTTATGTAGTAGTTAGTGAGAGTTATGTAGTGGTCAGTGAGAGTTATGTAGTGGTTAGTGAGAGTTATGTAGTGGTTAGTGGTTAGTGAGAGTTATGTAGTGGTTAGTGAGAGTTATGTAGTGGTTAGTGAGAGTTATGTAGTGGTTAGTGAGAGTTATGTAGTGGTCAGTGAGAGTTATGTAGTAGTTAGTGAGAGTTATGTAGTGGTTAGTGAGAGTTATGTAGTAGTTAGTGAGAGTTATGTAGTGGTCAGTGAGAGTTATGTAGTAGTTAGTGAGAGTTATGTAGTGGTTAGTGATAGTAATGTAGTGGTAAGTGAGAGTTATGTAGTGGTTAGTGAGAGTTATGTAGTGGTTAGTGAGAGTTATGTAGTGGTTAGTGAGAGTTATGTAGTGGTTAGTGAGAGTTATGTAGTGGTTAGTGAGAGTTATGTAGTGGTCAGTGAGAGTTATGTAGTGGTCAGTGATAGTTATGTAGTGGTAAGTGAGAATTATGTAGTGGTAAGTGAGAGTGAGAGTTATGTAGTGGTAAGTGAGAGTTATGTAGTGGTCAGTGAGAGTTATGTAGTGTAAGTGAGAGTGAGAGTTATGTAGTAGTTAGTGAGAGTAATGTAGTGGTTAGTGATAGTAATGTAGTGGTAAGTGAGAGTTATGTAGTGGTTAGTGAGAGTTATGTAGTGGTCAGTGAGAGTTATGTAGTGGTCAGTGAGAGTTATGTAGTAGTTAGTGAGAGTTATGTAGTGGTTAGTGAGAGTTATGTAGTAGTTAGTCAGAGTTATGTAGTGGTTAGTGAGAGTTATGTAGTAGTTAGTGAGAGTTATGTAGTGGTTAGTGAGAGTTATGTAGTAGTTAGTGAGAGTTATGTAGTGGTTAGTGAGAGTTATGTAGTGGTTAGTGAGAGTTATGTAGTGGTTAGTGAGAGTTATGTAGTAGTTAGTCAGAGTTATGTAGTGGTTAGTGAGAGTTATGTAGTAGTTAGTGAGAGTTATGTAGTGGTTAGTGAGAGTTATGTAGTAGTTAGTGAGAGTTATGTAGTGGTTAGTGAGAGTTATGTAGTAGTTAGTGAGAGTTATGTAGTAGTCAGTGAGAGTTATGTAGTGGTTAGTGAGTGTTATGTAGTAGTCAGTGAGAGTTATGTAGTGGTCAGTGAGAGTTATGTAGTAGTTAGTGAGAGTTATGTAGTGGTCAGTGAGAGTTATGTAGTAGTTAGTGAGAGTTATGTAGTGGTCAGTGAGAGTTATGTAGTGGTTAGTGGTAAGTGAGAGTTATGTAGTGGTTAGTGAGAGTTAAGTAGTGGTTAGTGAGAGTTATGTAGTGGTTAGTGAGAGTTATGTAGTGGTTCATGAGAAATTAAAATTGTTGTAAAAACAAGAGTGTTGAAAGCAAAACTAACTAAATATTTCAATTTCATTTAATTTTGTCACAAAACGATAAAAAAAGTTTCTAATTTTTGAAAAAATTCACAATTCACTGGTTATCTTTAGCCAAACTTTGAACAAGCGAGGTCGGGTGCTCGGTAAACAGTTGTGACATGTTTCACAAGGCAGTAACTAGCTTCTAAAAACCACATCTTTAAAAGTAATAATATTTCATCGGCAACGAAAATTATGAAAGACAAGTTTAAACCACACAAGTTTTAGTAAATAACAAGATTTAAGATAAAAAAAGTTTTCCATTGAAAACATGAATACTGCATATCAACAATAAAGTGAAATGTTTCCTGTCCTGTTGAACAGAGTATTATGCAGGGTACATAGTATGTATCATGATCTCATGAGGATAAGTAGTATGTTTATAATCACATTTAAAAGCTTACTACTGTCAGTAGCTGTATACATATTATCATAAAAACGCCATATCACCAGGTAATATTATGGATGAACTCGACCAGCAGAAACAATATACAATCCTCCAGCCATGAGTAGACCGTAGCTGAAGAATTTATATGTTCAATCCTCTAGCCTTGATCACTACCACAGTAGACTGTTGCTGAAGGGTTTATATGTTCAATCCTCCAGACTTGGTCACTACCACAGAAGACCGTAGCTGAAGAATTTATATGTTCAATCCTCCAGCCTTGGTCACTACCGCAGTAGACTGTTGCTGAAGTGTGTATATGTTCAATCCGCCAGCCTTGATCACTACCACAGTATACTATTGCTGAAGAGTGTATATGTTCAATCCTCCAGCCTTGGTCACTACCGCAGTAGACTGTTGCTGAAGAGTGTATATGTTCAATCCGCCAGCCTTGATCACTACCACAGTATACTGTTGCTGAAGAGTGTATATGTTCAATCCTCCAGCCTTGGTCACTACCGCAGTAGACTGTTGCTGAAGGGTTTATATGTTCAATCCTCCAGGCTTGGTCACTACTGCAGTAGACTGTTGCTGAAGAGTGTATATGTTCAATCCGCCAGCCTTGATCACTACCACAGTATACAGTTGCTGAAGAGTGTATATGTTCAATCCTCCAGCCTTGGTCACTACCGCAGTAGACTGTTGCTGAAGGGTTTATATGTTCAATCCTCCAGCCTTGGTCACTACTGCAGTAGACTGTTGCTGAAGAGTGTATATGTTCAATCCGCCAGCCTTGATCACTACCACAGTATACTGTTGCTGAAGAGTGTATATGTTCAATCCTCCAGCCTTGGTCACTACCGCAGTAGACTGTTGCTGAAGGGTTTATATGTTCAATCCTCCAGCCTTGGTCACTACCGCAGTAGACTGTTGCTGAAGAGTGTATATGTTCAATCCTCCAGCCTTGGTCACTACTGCAGTAGACTGTTGCTGAAGAGTGTATATGTTCAATCCTCCAGCCTTGGTCACTACCGCAGTAGACTGTTGCTGAAGGGTTTATATGTTCAATCCTCCAGGCTTGGTCACTACTGCAGTAGACTGTTGCTGAAGAGTGTATATGTTCAATCCGCCAGCCTTGATCACTACCACAGTATACAGTTGCTGAAGAGTGTATATGTTCAATCCTCCAGCCTTGGTCACTACCGCAGTAGACTGTTGCTGAAGGGTTTATATGTTCAATCCTCCAGCCTTGGTCACTACTGCAGTAGACTGTTGCTGAAGAGTGTATATGTTCAATCCGCCAGCCTTGATCACTACCACAGTATACTGTTGCTGAAGAGTGTATATGTTCAATCCTCCAGCCTTGGTCACTACCGCAGTAGACTGTTGCTGAAGGGTTTATATGTTCAATCCTCCAGCCTTGGTCACTACCGCAGTAGACTGTTGCTGAAGGGTTTATATGTTCAATCCTCCAGCCTTGGTCACTACCGCAGTAGACTGTTGCTGAAGGGTTTATATGTTCAATCCTCCAGCCTTGGTCACTACCGCAGTAGACTGTTGCTGAAGAGTGTATATGTTCAATCCGCCAGCCTTGATCACTACCACAGTATACTGTTGCTGAAGAGTGTATATGTTCAATCCTCCAGCCTTGGTCACTACCGCAGTAGACTGTTGCTGAAGGGTTTATATGTTCAATCCTCCAGGCTTGGTCACTACTGCAGTAGACTGTTGCTGAAGAGTGTATATGTTCAATCCGCCAGCCTTGATCACTACCACAGTATACAGTTGCTGAAGAGTGTATATGTTCAATCCTCCAGCCTTGGTCACTACCGCAGTAGACTGTTGCTGAAGGGTTTATATGTTCAATCCTCCAGCCTTGGTCACTACTGCAGTAGACTGTTGCTGAAGAGTGTATATGTTCAATCCGCCAGCCTTGATCACTACCACAGTATACTGTTGCTGAAGAGTGTATATGTTCAATCCTCCAGCCTTGGTCACTACCGCAGTAGACTGTTGCTGAAGGGTTTATATGTTCAATCCTCCAGCCTTGGTCACTACCGCAGTAGACTGTTGCTGAAGAGTGTATATGTTCAATCCTCCAGCCTTGGTCACTACCGCAGTAGACTGTTGCTGAAGGGTTTATATGTTCAATCCTCCAGCCTTGGTCACTACCGCAGTAGACTGTTGCTGAAGGGTTTATATGTTCAATCCTCCAGCATTGGTCACTACCGCAGCAGACTGCTGCTAAAATGTTCATGGTCTTTCCAATCAATGACTGTGGTAATGCCCCACCAGATCCACTCCAGACACAGCTCCCGGTCACCGTCGTGTTCGTTTGTACCCAGACAAAATGCCGTTCAGAGGTAGGTTTGGACAACAGTACCTACAGAATATGTCGAAACTTTTCTCTGCTCTTTGACACATCACATCACTTTCCTCATCGCTCTCATCGTCTTCAATGATCGTTAGAGGATTCGTCTTAAGTGAGTTAACGGCATCCACGAGACTGGTATATGTCCTCCTGTTGAGACTGAGACTGGCGTCATACGGACGACTACTCAGAGCGTTTATATAATCTCCCTGTAACAAGTTAAAGGGACCGTCAGTACTAGTGACTTATATAATCATAATTGATATTGATAGGTCTGACAAAATTTCCCAGGTATATGTAACAGTCATCACCAAACGGCCTCTTTCTACGTCAATCTAGCTAATTTTTTATTTGTCTTTGTCATCTAGGTTAACTAGCATTAACTAGTTACTACTATCCATAGTATGTCACTTTATAAATACGGTTATCATGGAAACAAACAAATATGTAAACATGTCTTATGAATAGTCTCCGTCTCCATGGCAAAATCTGTATCTCCGCCACTTATAGGTAAACATGTTAAAACAAACAGACATTTACACCATTTCTTGTATTAAAATATATCGTGTCTTTTCAAAATGTAGATATATACCAAAATCTCTACACGGTCTTGTATATAAAGCATCTCGTGTCTATGGAAACAAGCAAAAATCTCGTGTCTATGGAAACAAAACAAAATCTCTACATGGTCTGGTATATAAAACATCTGGTGTCTACGGAAACAAGCCAAAATCTCTACATGGTCTGGTATATAAAACATCTCGTGTCTATGGAAACAAGCCAAAATCTCTACATGGTCTGGTATATAAAACATCTCGTGTCTATGGAAACAAGCCAAAATCTCTACACGGTTTGGTATATAAAACATCTCGTGTCTATGGAAACAAGCCAAAATCTCTACACGGTCCGGTATATAAAACATCTCGTGTCTATGGAAACAAGAAAAAATCTCTACATGGTCCGGTATATAAAACATCTCGTGTCTATGGAAACAAGCCAAAATCTCTACACGGTCTGGTATATAAAACATCTCGTGTCTATGGAAACAAGCCAAAATCTCTACACGGTTTGGTATATAAAACATCTCGTGTCTATGTAAACAAGCCAAAATCTCTACATGGTCTGGTATATAAAACATCTCGTGTCTATGGAAACAAGCCAAAATCTCTACATGGTCTGGTATATAAAACATCTCGTGTCTATGGAAACAAGCCAAAATCTCTACATGGTCTGGTATAGAAAACATCTCGTGTCTATGGAAACAAGCCAAAATCTCTACATGGTCTGGTATATAAAACATCTCGTGTCTATGGAAACAAGCCAAAATCTCTACATGGTCTGGTATAGAAAACATCTCGTGTCTATGGAAACAAGCCAAAATCTCTACACGGTCTGGTATATAAAACATCTCGTGTCTATGGAAACAAACAAAAAATTCTACTGGTATGTTAAATCTGCATTTCGTGTTTATTGATGTTAGCCGTTATCTCTACACACTCTGGTACTTTAACTTATCGTGGCTGTGTTGTGATATATAAAGATTTATATCTACAAAAACATACCGATATCTCAACGTGTTCAACTCCGTCTTCATGTTTTACAGACACAACAAAAACAACACTGGTTTGGCTCATTCTGAAATTAAAGTTAAAAAATATTAGCCACGAACTTTTTCCTTTTTCTCTATCAATAAATCTGATGAAACATCCTTCAGTCACAGACTTCCTCCCTTTTCTCTACCGATCAATCTGATGTAACATCAGTCACAGACTTCCTCCCTTTTCTCTACCGATCAATCTGATGTAACATCAGTCACAGACTTCCTCCCTTTTCTCTACCGATCAATCTGATGTAACATCAGTCACAGACTTCCTCCCTTTTCTCTACCGATCAATCTAATGTAACATCCTTCAGTCACAGACTTCCTCCCTTTTCTCTACCGATCAATCTGATGTAACATCAGTCACAGACTTCCTCCCTTTTCTCTACCGATCAATCTGATGTAACATCAGTCACAGACTTCCTGCCTTTTCTCTACCGATCAATCTGATGAAACATCCTTCAGTCACAGACTTCCTCCCTTTTCTCTACCGATCAATCTGATGTAACATCCTTCAGTCACAGACTTCCTCCCTTTTCTCTACCGATCAATCTGATGAAACATCCTTCAGTCACAGACTTCCTCCCTTTTCTCTACCGATCAATCTGATGTAACATCCTTCAGTCACAGACTTCCTCCCTTTTCTCTACCGATCAATCTGATGTAACATCCTTCAGTCACAGACTTCCTCCCTTTTCTCTACCGATCAATCTGATGTAACATCAGTCACAGACCTCCTCCCTTTTCTCTACCGATCAATCTGATGTAACATCAGTCACAGACTTCCTCCCTTTTCTCTACCGATCAATCTGATGTAACATCCTTCAGTCACTTGTAACCAACGACAAAACATAGATAATCTGTAGGTAGTATTGTACAACAGACACTTGTAACCAACGACAAAACATAGATAATCTGTAGGTAGTATTGTACAACAGACACTTGTAACCAACGACAAAACATAGATAATCTGTAGGTAGTATTGTACAACAGACACTTGTAACCAACGACAAAACATCAATATTTAGATAAATACGAGACATGATCTACCTTACGAGATAAGTTCCACAGCGCTCATTAATCAGCATTGCTGTTGCGTCTTCTCTCGTCATGTCGCCGGCGAACCAACTGTTTCAGAAAAATATAAAAGCTTACATCATCTTCTGCGACATCGGAAAAGTGACGGTAATAGATTATAACATGTTATTACTGTTAACAAGTAAATAAGTAACATATTTAAACTAAACACCAGCGTAAATAGTGGTCCCGCTCCTGGATAGTACAAGCCTATTTATGACACGCAGGGGAGGGGAGATATTGGTCTAGCTATTCAACACCAATCTGTTGTCGAACATCAATGAAAATTGTTGTCCTTTCGTCTACAGAATATGTATACATGGCGGAGAAATATTTGTTGTGTATCTAATTAAGTATATACCTTTGTACGTCTGGAAATCGAACAGAGGTCTGTCTATACGTCGGGGTAAGGGAGTCTGTCTGTACGTCAGGGAAAGGGGGTCTGTCTGTGCGTCGGGAAAAGGGAGTCTGTCTATACGTCAGGGAAAGGGAGTCTGTCTGTGCGTCGGGGAAAGGGAGTATGTCTGTGCGTCGGGGAAAGGGAGTCTGTCTGTGCGTCGGGGTAAGGGGATCTGTGTGTGCGTCGGAGTAAGGGGGTCTGTCTGTGCGTCGGGGAAAGAGGGTATGTCTGTTCGTTAAAGAGGAGGGATGAACAACTATGTTCACTAAGGGAATTTTGATAAATGTCCCCTGCAACCAAGTTGAAACCAACTGTTTGCCGAACGGTCATAACAATTTTGTAAACAATTTATTCCAAACATATACCCGTCCGTTTTTTACAAGGCTAGTTATAAGAATGCATCGTTTTAATCATGTCGTCAAAATTTCAGATCATATATCAATATGAGAGACTAGGCCTACCGATTTTTTTTACGTCGAAACCTAACAATAGTGAGTGGTAACCAACACATACACGAGAAGGACGACTACATACATGTATACTAAATGGTTTTACAGTAATTACTAAGTACATGTTCACACAGGTATTTTCACTGCCGTGATCGTGCGATGGATAGGACTTTTCAAGATGGCGGACCAACGTAACACCGGAAGGTAAGCTCTGCTTTCAAACGGTAATATCCAGGCTAGGCTAGGTCTCGGTGCATTTTGTGATCATGTTACTAAGGACCGAGCCATCGCATGGTCAAAATTTCCTGTGCTTTTTTCTCCAATCAAGTTGCCGATTCCGTCACAGAAGATTGTCATTCGATTAGGGACTTATCTTGAATTTAACATTAAAACTCTGACTGAATTTATTCAATTGTTGTAGCTAGGGCTGATAGTTGAGCTCACATCCGCTTGGATGTAACAAATCGGCATGTTGACAAAGTCTACACACAGATTGCATTTCATTTCAAGTCTATCGTCATCCAAATAGATACGTACAACAATATTAGCACTATTTGCGAATCAGATACAATATGTGTCATGATCATAGTGAGTATATAAGTTATGGATACTACCGTTTGAAAGCAGAGCTCCATCTTGAAAAGTCCTATCCATCGTACGATCACGACAGTGATTTCATCTCCTACCATGGATCTGTTTCACCAGACACATATACGTGTATATACAAACGTTCTCGTCGTTTGTATGTTATTCCTGCAGAGAAAGGTTTTACATTGACTCATGGAAGAGGTTTGCCTGTCATTTATTTAGGAAAAAGCAAACGTCGATGTCTTTTCATTGGAATTGTATAAATGATTGCTCATTTCCTGTCAAACTGCCACACATCCTGACATCATTGTTACCTTAGTTTCTCTTTCCTGCTTGTGTCCTTAACAATGCTGGCTTCCTTGATGTGAGAAATCTGAAACAGTTGAGTTAGTGTAAAAACTATTGGACTTGTGATGTCAAACTGAGTAGTGAGCTGTTTTGAATATGATAATAGATTGTGGTAGATTTTTATAAACTTCATTTAACATGAGCAAATGCATAACACAGTGGTTTAAAAAGTGCAAGTTTGATAAAATTATGGGGAAGTTTTACGGTCGATCTCATTGAGAAAACTATATTCCTTTGTGCTATATAAAGTCAGACGCCTTTTGACGCTCGTTTGGTTGACAGGGGTTCCGTAACTATAAACATGGTTTTCATTTGAGAACAAGACATTACTTATATGGATTTACCAAGCTTTTCATAGCGGGTGTCGCATATGAAGCAGAAGACGCTTACACTGCCGGAACACCTGGTCTTATTATCCTTGTACTTTTTCAGGAGTCTCTGTGTAAATCTTTCTTTTGTGTATATTTTGTCACAGTTTTACTGACTTTGAGTTTGGATTATGGTTGTGTTCACATGGTGGTAATTGTTTAGGATATCTTAAGATCCTGAATGTCGATCTTGATGAATGGATGTATGGTAAATGAAAACAAAAATGTTCACTGAAAACTGCGATTTCGATATTTCACCGCAGCCATATGAAGATCCTGCATTTTTTGTCCCGATCTGTGTCCGGCCATCGAGCGGGTACAGCACAATCAACAAGCATCGTACATATGAAAACAAACCGAACCCAAACTGGATCTGATAAATTCCAAATGGATCAGAATACCTACACAGTGACTATCAATATTAACTTTGCAATGTCAGCGCACGAGATGTGGAATTAGCAAGTAAGTGTGCGGACGCGCTGTTTACTTGTGTGTTTTTTATACAATTGAGATTGCAGATAGCAGTCATGCTGGAGGATGAAGAGTGGCGCGGCTCAGGATATACACATGCACCTGACGTTCTTCTGGAATGAATTACGGAATTCAATGGATAACGACACTTGTGCACCTCCACATCTAAATTTTGACCTTTATTTCAATCACTTTGGATTTTCCTCAGTTGCCTTCTTTGCTTTAGATTTTAGTCCCTTAACATTAGTGACGAGGTCTAGTAGGACGAAACATATGTATAATACAGTATCAATAATTCATTGATTTTCTCGTGCAAGTCTTTTGTACAGTCTTTGTATTAAAAGGTGCTATCCACGTGCGTATCTTTTGTACAATCTTTGTATTAAAACGCGTTATTCACGTGCGTGTCTTTGGTACAGTCTTTGTATTAAAACGCGTTATTCACGTGCGTGTCTTTGGTACAGTCTTTGTATTAAAACGCGTTATTCACGTGCGTGTCTTTGGTACAGTCTTTGTATTAAAACGCGTTATTCACGTGCGTGTCTTTGGTACAGTCTTTGTATTAAAACGCGTTATTCACGTGCGTGTCTTTTGTACAATCTTTGTATTAAAACGCGTTATTCACGTGCGTGTCTTTGGTACAGTCTTTGTATTAAAACGCGTTATTCACGTGCGTGTCTTTGGTACAGTCTTTGTATTAAAACGCGTTTTTCACGTGCGTGTCTTTGGTACAGTCTTTGTATTAAAACGCGTTATTCACGTGCGTGTCTTTGGTACAGTCTTTGTATTAAAACGCGTTATTCACGTGCGTGTCTTTGGTACAGTCTTTGTATTAAAACGCGTTATTCACGTGCGTGTCTTTGGTACAGTCTTTGTATTAAAACGCGTTATTCACGTGCGTGTCTTTGGTACAGTCTTTGTATTAAAACGCGTTATTCACGTGCGTGTCTTTGGTACAGTCTTTGTATTAAAACGCGTTATTCACGTGCGTGTCTTTGGTACAGTCTTTGTATTAAAACGCGTTATTCACGTGCGTGTCTTTGGTACAGTCTTTGTATTAAAACGCGTTATTCACGTGCGTGTCTTTGGTACAGTCTTTGTATTAAAACGTACAGTCTTTGTATTAAAACGCGTTATTCACGTGCGTGTCTTTGGTACAGTCTTTGTATTAAAAGGTGCTATTCATATGCGTGTCTTTTGTATGTATAACTTGGAGAAAGACAAGGTATACTTACCTGTTGTAGCATGACACATTCACTGGGCCCGACCGGACCTAAAAACTTCACTAAACGTGCGAAGTTCTCATATTTAACCACCGCCGTATCATCTGTAACATAACCAAACCACTTTATCAGCCCCATGAAACAGTGATTTGTGTGGTCCCACTGTATTTGTTTTCATTTACAGTAATAATACGTTGAAGGAGACTTTATGTGAATTTATAGCAAATAAGGTCATCAATGGTCAAAGGTCGAATTAGTGATCAATATTCGATACCATAAAACGTTACTGAGAAATAATTTGAGGACGACGGATGGGAGATCATAAAAAAAGCTGACAAAGTAACACACTCAGATTAAATTAAACCTTAAAAATGTAATACTTACCATTAGGGCTACCTTAAATAAAGGCTGAAAGCGCCATGTTGAAAGCCTCCGTTAAATATTGTATTCAGCCAAAGGACTCACCTGCTAAATTTACCTTCAGAAGAGTTTTCAATAGATTTTCCACTTTGGAATCCTTAAGTAATTTTTTCGCACAAGAGAACTCTTTCAATTTTTCAATAAATTTCTCTAGGAACTGAAATGAAAGCAATTTTATTATTTATTGTTTTTTCAGAGAAACTGGTATATCAACGCTTTATCAAAGAAAAGTCTATTAACTTCCTTCCCGCAGAGTTCATAAGGCCACGTATGACAGTCGGTATACTACCTTCTCTGACATACTATAAACCCACGTATGACAGTCGGTATACTACCTTCTCTGACATACTATAAACCCACGTATGACAGTCGGTATACTACCTTCTCTGACATACTATAAACCCACGTATGACAGTCGGTATACTACCTTCTCTGACATACTATAAGGCCACGTATGACAGTCGGTATACTACCTTCTCTGACATACTATAATCCCACGTATGACAGTCGGTATACTACCTTCTCTGACATACTATAATCCCACGTATGACAGTCGGTATACTACCTTCTCTGACATACTATAAACCCACGTATGACAGTCGGTATACTACCTTCTCTGACATACTATAAACCCACGTATGACAGTCGGTATACTACCTTCTCTGACATACTATAAACCCACGTATGACAGTCGGTATACTACCTTCTCTGACATACTATAAACCCACGTATGACAGTCGGTATACTACCTTCTCTGACATACTATAAGGCCACGTATGACAGTCGGTATACTACCTTCTCTGACATACTATAAACCCACGTATGACAGTCGGTATACTACCTTCTCTGACATACTATAAACCCACGTATGACAGTCGGTATACTACCTTCTCTGACATACTATAAACCCACGTATGACAGTCGGTATACTACCTTCTCTGACATACTATAAACCCACGTATGACAGTCGGTATACTACCTTCTCTGACATACTATAACCCACGTATGACAGTCGGTATACTACCTTCTCTGACATACTATAAACCCACGTATGACAGTCGGTATACTACCTTCTCTGACATACTATAATCCCACGTATGACAGTCGGTATACTACCTTCTCTGACATACTATAAACCCACGTATGACAGTCGGTATACTACCTTCTCTGACATACTATAAACCCACGTATGACAGTCGGTATACTACCTTCTCTGACATACTATAAACCCACGTATACTACCTTCTCTGACATACAATACTAAATCAGTCCACGTATGACAGTCGGTATACTACCTTCTCTGACATACTATAATCCCACGTATGACAGTCGGTATACTACCTTCTCTGACATACTATAAACCCACGTATGACAGTCGGTATACTACCTTCTCTGACATACAATAAGGCCACGTATGACAGTCGGTATACTACCTTCTCTGACATACTATAAACCCACGTATGACAGTCGGTATACTACCTTCTCTGACATACTATAAACCCACGTATGACAGTCGGTATACTACCTTCTCTGACATACTATAAACCCACGTATGACAGTCGGTATACTACCTTCTCTGACATACTATAATCCCACGTATGACAGTCGGTATACTACCTTCTCTGACATACTATAAGGCCACGTATGACAGTCGACATACTATAAACCCACGTATGACCTTCTTCTCTGACATATGACATGACAGTTACGTGGTATGGAAGCGAACAGTGTTGAATAGTTTTTATGTTTTTAATAGTCAGCGATATCTTCTCCTTTGATAAGATAAAATATCATACGTAATATCCAATTGAATATCAGAGCTGGTTAGTGTACCTTGTAATGTCTTTGTTATAAACAAGGCTATTATTTGAGAATATGATATTATTTTACCTTAATTTACACGGCGGGTGTCGTCGACGTCACATGTCACACAAAAATAGAACATTTACCAATGGCATTATCCAGACAATCACGTTACTTTGATTTCGGAAAAGTACAAGGTAAATAAAACTAAATGATCCGGAAGAGTAAGCGACTGTTTTATCGACGATACCTGTCACGTATCTAGCGGTTCACATCATACCTTCTCGTGACAGCTGGATTCGTCCAAACCTTTCCGCGGGACACATTTCCAGAAGTCAATTGACTCCTGAGAATGGAGTTTAGATTCTATCACAGCACACGTCTCACCTAAACAGGGAATAACAAAGAGTCTACCTTTAACAAGAGATCCCAGATGGATTTTGGCGCCCACCATTGTTTGATTTTTCTATGCTATATGAAAGTTGGATCTTTTTTCTTCTTTTCTCTTCTCTGTTTTTGCTCGTAGTGATAAGACATTTGAACATTCCTTAGCAGAAATAGCGATGATAATCTTTACCCGCCAAATCCAAAATGGCCGCCTGGAAGCCAATTTATTTCTTCTGATCAGTCCAAAATCAAACGAGTTCAAGGAAAGACCAAAGGGAACATACGTATGAAATCTTAGAGATGTCCACTCAGTACTTCTTAAGAAATAACAATAGCAACCTTTACCAGGCAAAATCAAATATGACTGTCTGTCGGCCATTTTGTTTTTCTGGTTAGTCCCAAATTCAAACTGGCACAATTAGGTACATAAAAGAACCTATACATGAAATTTGAGAAAGATCAATAGAGTAGTTCTCAAGAACATGTGACATCAAACTTCCGAAGTGAAAATCCAAGATTGCCTCGGCAATTTTGTTTTTTCTATCAGTCCCAACATCAAACTGGCACAACTAGGGACCAAGGGAAACCTACAAATGAAATTTAAGAAAGATCCATTCCGTACTTATCAAGAAATAACAATAACAAACTTCATTGAAAACAAATTCTAGATGGCTGTCTGTCGGCCATTTTATTTTTTTTTATCAGTCCCAGTATCAAACGGGCACAGCAAGGGACCAAGGGGAACCTACATTATTATGCAGTTTGAGAAAGATCCACCCAGTTCCTCTCCAGGAATAGCGATAACAAAAATTGCTTACGGACGGATGGACCAAGGACAACGGACACAGAGCGATTTGAATAGCCCACCATCTGGTGATGGTAGGCTAATAAGTACCTACAACATGATGTTAAATAGTATCACAACATAGCATCATATGTATACGTCGGGTCTTACCACAGAGACCAGAGTTAACATGTCTGTCTACATAGCATCATATCTACACATCGGGTCTTACCACAAATACCAGAGTCAACATGTCTGTCTACATAGCATCATATCTACACGTCGGGTCTTACCACAAATACCAGAGTCAACTTGTCTGTCTACATAGCATCATATCTACACGTCGGGTCTTACCACAGAGACCAGAGTCAACTTGTCTGTCTACATAGCATCATATCTACACGTCGGGTCTTACCACAGAGACCAGAGTCAACATGTCTGTCTATATAGCATCATAACTATAAGTCGGGTCTTACCACAAATACCAGAGTCAACATTGTCTACATAGCATTATATCTACACGTCGGGCCTTACCACAAATACCAGAGTCAACATATCTGTCTACATAGCATCATATCTACACGTCCGGCCTTACCACAAATACCAGAGTCAACATGTCTGTCTACATAGCATCATATCTACACATCGGGCCTTACCACAAAGACCAGAGTCAACATATCTGTCTACATAGCATCATATCTACACGTCCGGCCTTACCACAAATACCAGAGTCAACATGTCTGTCTACATAGCATCATATCTACACATTGGGTCTTACCACAAAGACCAGAGTCAACATATCTGTCTACATAACATCATATCTACACGTCGGGTCTTACCACAAATACCAGAGTCAACATGTCTGTCTACATAGCATCATATCTACACGTCGGGCCTTACCACAGAGACCAGAGTCAACATATCTGTCTACATAGCATCATATCTACACGTCGGGCCTTACCACAGAGACCAGAGTCAACATTGTCTACATAGCATCATATCTACACGTCGGGTCTTACCACAGAGACCAGAGTCAACATATCTGTCTACATAGCATTATATCTACACGTCGGGTCTTACCACAAATACCAGAGTCAACATGTCTGTCTACATAGCATCATATCTACACGTCGGGTCTTACCACAAAGACCAGAGTCAACATATCTGTCTACATAGCATCATATCTACACGTCGGGTCTTACCACAAATACCAGAGTCAACATGTCTGTCTACATAGCATCATATCTACACGTCGGGCCTTACCACAAATACCAGAGTCAACATGTCTGTCTACCATAGCATCATATCTACACATCATATCTACACGTCGGGCCTTACCACAAAGACCAGAGTCAACATGTCTGTCTATATAGCATCATAACTATAAGTCGGGTCTTACCACAAATACCAGAGTCAACTTGTCTGTCTACATAGCATCATATCTACACGTCGGGCCTTACCACAGAGACCAGAGTCAACATATCTGTCTACATAGCATCATATCTACACGTCGGGTCTTACCACAAATACCAGAGTCAACATGTCTGTCTACATAGCATCATATCTACACGTCGGGCCTTACCACAGAGACCAGAGTCAACATTGTCTACATAGCATTATATCTACACTTCGGGCCTTACCACAGAGACCAGAGTCAACATGTCTGTCTACATAGCATTATATCTACACATTGGGTCTTACCACAAATACCAGAGTCAACATGTCTGTCTATATAGCATCATATCTACACGTCGGGCCTTACCACAGAGACCAGAGTCAACATTGTCTACATAGCATTATATCTACACTTCGGGCCTTACCACAAATACCAGAGTCAACCACATAGCAGACCAGAGACCAGTCAACATGTCTGTCTACATAGCATTATATCTACACGTCGGGCCTTACCACAGAGACCAGAGTCAACATTGTCTACATAGCATTATATCTACACGTCGGGTCTTACCACAGAGACCAGAGTCAACATTGTCTACATAGCATTATATCTACACGTCGGGTCTTACCACAGAGACCAGAGTCAACATTGTCTACATAGCATTATATCTACACGTCCAGAGTCAACATGTCTGTCTACATAGCATCATATCTACACGTCGGGTATTACCACAAAGACCAGAGTCAACTTTGTCTACATAGCATTATATCTACACGTCGGGTCTTACCACAGAGACCAGAGTCAACATTGTCTACATAGCATTATATCTACACGTCGGGTCTTACCACAGAGACCAGAGTCAACATTGTCTACATAGCATTATATCTACACGTCGGGTCTTACCACAGAGACCAGAGTCAACATTGTCTACATAGCATTATATCTACACGTCGGGTCTTACCACAGAGACCAGAGTCAACATTGTCTACATAGCATTATATCTACACGTCGGGTCTTACCACAGAGACCAGAGTCAACATTGTCTACATAGCATTATATCTACACGTCGGGTCTTATATTTATTCCTATGAACCAATGTAATCTTAACGGGTTATTTGTAGCACCTTGAAGGAAAACCAGTAAAATTTTTAATAATCCATCAAAAATATCCTCAGAGCCTATTAATGATATAATTAGTTCTGAGAACCTTAGGTGTACTACAGAGTGCATTGTTTCGTTCAATGACAAATAAAGAAAATAGTCCAAACTACAAAATGATATTAGTTTTGAGACAGTTTGAACTGCTGGAAATTCCTATCTCAATCATGTATCAAAAATATTACAAATTCAAACAATTCCAAACATGAAAAATGTTTTAATTTTTGACCCATTTTTAGATATGAGAACTTTTCGTGGAAGCGATGTTTATATCATTTGGCGCAATAAATAGAGAGAGACATTGGTAAAGATTTTAGATAAGTCGAGAACACGTCACAGACTTACAGTGATAGTCTGGAATGGCTGAACAACGAGACCCCACGGACGAATTCAGATCACTGGGAGCAAGAACGTCGTGTGTGAGGTCAGTGTCAGTGACTTGTTCTGATTGATTTTGTTCTAGATATTCCTTCACGCTTGTTTCTGAGGATACACTATTTGGAAAAAGAGACAGTGCCGCAAAACCCGCCGAGGAAAATGCAGGTATAGAGTTGTTTGTCTGGAATCTTTCTGTGGGTTGGTAGTCCTCGATATTACCTATGAAGCATACACTCGGATCACTCCCTCCCGAAGTGTCTTCCGACTGGATAACCGTCCAACTAACATCATTCTTTTCTATTCGTGTGTCATCTTTGTCAATTCCACTTACAGGACGCTCGTCGGTCAGGTTATCTCCCCTTTCTGCTTGCTTAATCAGCATTCCATTTTTTTCTTGTGACACCGAACTTTCCACCTCGTCAGACCGCCCGTCCCAGTGGGCCATATCACTTACGTTGTACAGTCCTCTGAAATCATCGTAAACAACAGAAATGTTGAATATTAATGAGATACGGTGTGTGATAGCTCACCTGGACAAAATAACAGAAAATCGACTTTTATTTCTGCTTTTTAACGTTAATGTTGGTTAACTTCTCATTTACTTTGCCGACAGTGTAGACATTCAGAGAGAAACTGGAAAAACTGATTTAGTTTAATGTTATTTTAGTTATATTCCACTGTACATGTGGGATGTGGGAAAACCTTCTCCGGTGTTTAAACAAACAGCGTCTACGTCATTTCTAACCAAGTGGCCAATTACGTTAGATAATGCGTACTTTTAATTACCTACAGTCTACAATGATTTTTACGCCCTGAAGTATTTCCAAATGTACCATGTCTATTGACTGCAATGGAAGTAACAAAACAGAACCTGCAATCACGTCAGGATTGGCGAACTAAATATGTTATTAAAATGAGGTTGACATATTTTATGTTAAACTTAAAAATGTATACACTTTGTAGACATCACGACTAAACGCTTTGTTTTGGTCGTGTACAACATATTTCCTGTAAAGACGTGTTAGGGTTAGGGCAATGTTTCGCGACATGTATTTAAACAGCTTGTCCTAAAATAGATTTGCTAACTATAGATTTTAACAAAGGCTTGGAGCTTATACAGTGCAAAAAGATACTCCGAGAGACATGTGCATACATGTATTCAATAACTCACGCAATGACTCGTAAATAATATTGACATGCCTACCAGCTCTCCCTACAGGAGGAAAACAACGTACCATAACATGGTGTTTACAAGACTGTCACATATGTTTCAATATCTACTAATTTTACTAAAGAAGTCGAATTGTGTTTCGGCTTTCAGGAACTCCTCAGCGTTTATCATTACATTCCAACGATAATAGCGATTAACACGAAACAATAAAACGTAACTGTTTGAGGCGTGCACTTCATCTGTAATATTCATGTAAGTTTACATCTACACACGGTGTATTAAAATCTAACTCTATAGACTTGTCACTAGCAGATATATCATTCCGAAGTCACCGCTTATCGCTGAAGCTAAATATGTATATATATATACCTCACCTTGGATGTGGTGTCACTCAGATCTGAAAATGGAAATGGGAAATCCCAGGTGTAAAATTCTACTGTTCAAACTCATAATGTCAGCTACCGTAATAACTCAGTCGTCTGCTTCTGTAACCGGAAAGATATCTTCGCCTGGCTTAGATGTAATAATACACCAAAAATAGCTGTGACGTCAGAGTTCAGAGAATCGTTGATTATTCATTACAAATATAGTGTTACACAGTCATCGTTGTCAGAGTAAATTTGAAACAAGGTCATCAAAATAAGGAACAGTATGGATATTAAAATAGCAGTAATACAGACTGGATTGTTTGACTAAGGTAAATGATAACAAAACAGATGTTTCATTACAGCAGAGTCTCTCCTGTTACCTTCTTAAATGACATGTTTCTTTCCCCTCCCTAAATTTTGCATAGTACAGTTCTTATATAGGAAATGAAAGTGATTAAATGAAGGTCGTTTAAAAGGTAATTATATGTAGGGAGTTCTTAATTCCATTCAATTTTAATGTGATCGAATATTATCGGTACTAAGAAAAAATGTCTGGTAATGTCAAACTTATTCACACGTTGGTATGTTAATATCTCCAGACGCTATTTTGTTTATATCTTCAGACGTGGTTTTGTTTATATCTTCAGACGTGGTTTTGTTTATACCTTCAAAAGTGGTTTTGTTTATACCTTCAGACGTGGTTTTGTTTATATCTTCAGACGTGGTTTTGTTTATATCTTCACACGTGGTGTTGTTTATATCTTCAGACGTGGTTTTGTTTATATCTTCACACGTGGTTTTGTATATATCTTCACACGTGGTTTTGTTTATATCTCCAGACGTGATTTTGTTTATATCTTTAGACGTGGTTTTGTTTATATCTTCAGACGTGGTTTTGTTTATATCTTCAGACTTGGTTTTGTTTATATCTTCAGACGTGGTTTTGTATATATCTTCAGACGTGGTTTTGTTTATATCTTCAGACGTGGTTTTGTTTATATCTTCAGACGTGGTTTTGTTGATATCTTCAGACGTGGTTTTGTTGATACCTTCACACGTGGTTTTGTTTATACCTTAACACGTGGTTTTGTTTATATCTTCGGACGTGGTTTTGTTTATATCTTCAGACGTGGTTTTGTTTATACCTTCAGACGTGGTTTTGTTTATATCTTCAGACGTGGTTTTGTATATATCTTCAGACGTGGTTTTGTTTATATCTTCAGACGTGGTTTTGTATATATCTTCAGACGTGGTTTTGTACCTAAAACTTCAGACGTGGTTTTGTTTATACTTCAGACGTGGTTTTGTATATATCAGACGTGGTTTTGTTTATACCTTCAGACGTGGTTTTGTTTATATCTTCAGACGTGGTTTTGTTTATATCTTCAGACGTGGTTTTGTTTATATCTTCACACGTGGTTTTGTTTATACCTTCAGACGTGGTTTTGTTTATACCTTCAGACGTGGTTTTGTTTATATCTTCAGACGTGGTTTTGTATATATCTTCAGACGTGGTTTTGTTTATACCTTCACACGTGGTGTTATTTATATCTTCAGACGTGGTTTTGTTTATACCTTCACACGTGGTTTTGTTTATATCTTCAGACGTGGTTTTGTTTATATCTTCACACGTGGTTTTGTTTATATCTTCAGACGTGGTTTTGTTTATATCTTCAGACGTGGTTTTGTTTATACCTTCAGACGTGGTTTTGTTTATACCTTCAGACGTGGTTTTGTTTATACCTTCAGACGTGGTTTTGTTTATATCTTCAGACGTGGTTTTCTTTATACATTCAGACGTGGTTTTGTTTATACCTTCACACGTGGTTTTGTTTATACCTTCACACGTGGTTTTGTTGATATCTTCAGACGTGGTTTTGTTGATACCTTATCACGTGGTTTTGTTTATACCTTCACGTGGTTTTGTTTATACGTGGTTTTGTTTATATCTTCAGACGTGGTCTTGTTTATACCTTAACACGTGGTTTTGTTTATACCTTCGGACGTGGTTTTGTTGATATCTTCAGACGTGGTTTTGTTGATACCTTAACACGTGGTTTTGTTTATATCTTCACACGTGGTTTTGTTTATACCTTCAGACGTGGTTTTGTTTATACCTTCAAACGTGGTTTTGTTTATATCTTCAGACGTGGTTTTGTTTATACCTTCAGACGTGGTTTTGTTTATATCTTCAGACGTGGTTTTGTTTATATCTTCAGACGTGGTTTTGTTTATATCTTCAGACGTGGTTTTGTTTATATCTTCACACGTGGTTTTGTTTATATCTTCAGACGTGGTTTTGTTTATATCTTCAGACGTGGTTTTGTATATATCTTCAGACGTGGTTTTGTTTATACCTTCACACGTGGTTTTGTTTATACCTTCAGACGTGGTTTTGTTTATATCTTCAGACGTGGTTTTGTTTATACCTTCAGACTTGGTTTTGTTTATATCTTCACACGTGGTTTTGTTTATATGTGGTTTTGTTTATACCTTCACACGTGGTGTTGTTTATACCTTCACACGTGGTTTTGTTTATATCTTCGGACGTGGTTTTGTTTATATCTTCAGACGTGTTTTTGTTTATACTTTAACACGTGGTTTTGTTTATACCTTCACACGTGGGTTTGTTTATATCTTCAGACGTGGTTTTGTTTATATCTTCAGACGTGGTCTTGTTTATATCTTCAGACGTGGTTTTGTTGATATCTTCAGACGTGGTTTTGTTTATACCTTCGGACGTGGTTTTGTTGATATCTTCAGACGTGGTTTTGTTGATACCTTAACACGTGGTTTTGTTTAAACCTTCACACGTGGGTTTGTTTATATCTTCAGACGTTGTCTTGTTTATATCTTCAGATGTGGTTCTGTTGATATCTTAACACGTGGTTTTGTTTATACCTTCACACGTGGGTTTGTTTATATCTTCAGACGTGGTTTTGTTTATATCTTCAGACGTGGTTTTGTTTATACCTTCACACGTGGTTTTGTTTATACCTTCACACGTGGTTTTGTTTATATCTTCACACGTGGGTTTGTTTATATCTTCAGACACTGTTTTGTTTATATCTTCACACGTGGTTTTGTTTACACGTGGTTTTGTTTATATCTTCACACGTGGGTTTGTTTATACCTTAACACGTGGTTTTGTTTATACCTTCACACGTGTTTTTGTTTATACCTTAACACGTGGTTTTGTTTATACCTTCAGACGTGGTTTTGTTTATATGCTCAGACGTGTTTTTGTTTATACCTTAACACGTGGTTTTGTTTATACCTTCACACGTGGTTTTGTTGATATCTTCAGACGTGGTTTTGTTGATACCTTATCACGTGGTTTTGTTTATACCTTCACACGTGGTTTTGTTTATACCTTAACACGTGGTTTTGTTTATACCTTCAGACGTGGTTTTGTTTATATCTTAACACGTGGTTTTGTTTATATCTTCAGACGTGGTTTTGTTTATACCTTCAGACGTGGTTTTGTTTATACCTTCAGACGTGGTTTTGTTTATATCTTCAGACGCTGTTTTGTTTATACCGTCATACGTGGTTTTGTTTATATCTTCAGACGTGGTTTTGTTTATATCTTCAGACGTGGTTTTGTTTATACCTTCAGACGTGGTTTTGTTTATATCTTCACACGTGGTTTTGTTTATATCTTCAGACGTGGTTTTGTTTATATCTTCAGACGTGGTTTTGTTTATACCTTCAGACGTGGTTTTGTTTATATCTTCACACGTGGGTTTGTTTATATCTTCACACGTGGTTTTGTTTATATCACACGTGGTTTTGTTTATATCTTCAGACGTGGTTTTGTTTATATCTTCACACGTGGTTTTGTTTATACCTTCACACGTGGTTTTGTTTATACCTTCAGACGTGGTTTTGTTTATATCTTCACACGTGGTTTTGTTTATACCTTCATACGTGGTTTTGTTTATACCTTCAGACTTGGTTTTGTTTATATCTTCAGACGTGGTTTTGTATATATCTTCAGACTTGGTTTTGTTTATATCTTCAGACGTGGTTTTGTTTATACCTTCAGACGTGGTTTTGTTTATATCTTCAGACGTGGTTTTGTTTATATCTTCAGACGTGGTTTTGTTTATACCTTCAGACTTGGTTTTGTTTATATCTTCAGACGTGGTTTTGTTTATATCTTCAGACGTGGTTTTGTTTATACCTTCAGACTTGGTTTTGTTTATATCTTCACACGTGGTTTTGTTTATATCTTCATACGTGGTTTTGTTTATACCTTCAGACGTGGTTTTGTTTATATCTTCAGACGTGGTTTTGTTTATATCTTCAGACGTGGTTTTGTTTATACCTTAACACGTGGTTTTGTTTATATCTTCGGACGTGGTTTTGTATATACCTTCAGACGTGGTTTTGTTTATATCTTCAGACGTGGTTTTGTTGATACCTTAACACGTGGTTTTGTTTATACCTTCACACGTGGGTTTGTTTATATCTTCAGACGTGGTTTTGTTTATATCTTCAGACGTGGTCTTGTTTATATCTTCAGACGTGGTTTTGTTTTTATCTTCAGACGTGGTTTTGTTTATACCTTCAGACGTGGTTTTGTTTATATCTTCAGACGTGGTTTTGTTTATATCTTCAGACGTGGTTCTGTTTATATCTTCACACGTGGTTTTGTTATTACCTTCAGACGTGGTTTTGTTTATACCTTCACACGTGGTTTTGTTTATATCTTCAGACGTGGTTTTGTTTATACCTTCAGACGTGGTTTTGTTTATACCTTCAGACGTGGTTTTGTTTATATCTTCAGACGTGGTTTTGTTTATACCTTAACACGTGGTTTTGTTTATACCTTCACACGTGGTTTTGTTTATATCTTCAGACGTGGTTTTGTTTATACCTTCAGACGTGGTTTTGTTTATATCTTCACACGTGGTTTTGTTTATACCTTCACACGTGGTTTTGTTTATATCTTCAGACGTGGTTTTGTTTATACCTTCACACGTGGTTTTGTTTATACCTTCAGACGTGGTTTTGTTGATACCTTAACACGTGGTTTTGTTTATACCTTCACACGTGGTT